GTTTAGCCTGTCCACCTAACTATCCGTCCATATACCCATGTTTGCCTTCACTGAGAACTCAGTACTGTATATGCAAAAGGGTTCATATTTGTTGTCTGTACTTCCCATGTACCTCTCTATGACTTACGGCAACCATTCTTGAATAATCTTCAGTATGATTTTACTTGTGTGTGATATTAATGATATTGTTTGACAATTTCAACCATCTGTGGGATCACCTTTCTTTGGAATGGGGACAAATATGGATTTTTTCCAGTCAGTTGGCCAGGTAGCTGTTTTCCAAATCTCTTGGCACAGTCAAGTGAGAGCCTCCAGCGCAGCATCCATACATTGAAATATCTCAATGGGTATTCTGTCAATTCCTGGAGCCTTGTTTTCCACCACTTCCTTTGGTGCAATCTTGACTTCTTCCTGCAATACCATTGGTTCTTGATCAGATGTCACCTCCTGAAACAGATGAACATTGACCAATTTTTTTGGTACAGTGACTCTGAATTCCTTCCATCTTCTTTTGATGTTTCCTGCTTCATTCAATATTTTTCCCAGAGAATCTTTCAATATTGCAATTCAAGGCTTAAATTTTTTCTTCAGTTTTTTCAGCTAGAGAGATGCCAAGTGTGTTCTTCTCTTTTGGTTCTCTAACTCCAGGTCTTTGCACAACATTTCATTATAATAATTGATTTGGTCTTCTCAAGCTGCTCTCTGAAATCTTCTCTTCAGCTCTTTCATCTTGTCATTTATTCCATTTGCTTTAGCTACTCTTCACTTCAGGGCAAGTTTCAGAGTCTTTTCTGACATCCATTTTGGTCTTTTCTTCCTTTTCTGTCTTTTTAATGACCTATTGCTTTCTTCTTGGATGATGCTTTTGATGTCATCCCACAATTCTTCTGATTTTCAGTCACTGGTGTTCAATGCATCAAATCTATTTTTTAATGCATTTTATTGGAATATAATTCATGTATAGTGAAATACACAAAACTAAAGTGACATGGGCCAATGAATTTTTTTTTTATTTTGCAGTGTTCTCTGCCCCCCCCCCC